AATAAATAAAAATCCCTTTTGCCTTTTAGGGTTGTAGGAGGGTTTAGATGTTTCATTTACTTTAGCTTTAGCATAACGAGAGGATAAAGCATTTTTTCATTTCTTGTTTCTCACTAATTAAATATACAATCACCCGGTGTTCTTTGTAGAACACTCATCGAGTCTATTATTTAAAATATTTAAATTCATATTGTTAACAAGTATTTAAAATTAAATTTAAAAATATTTATATATATATATATATATATATATGTATATATATATGCGTGTAAATGTAACATAAATTTTATTAATATTAAAAAATAAAAAGCTTTAGCGTTTTACGTTCTTTTTTTTCAGTTTTTCAAAAACAACAAGAAATTGTACTAATTTATGTACATACATATATAGATATATATGTTATATTTATAAAGTGAAATTTTTTCATTTTATACCCATCACCGAGCGACGGAAGGTGTATTCATTTTGCCAAAAAATTTGCGACACCCAGAGGATGCTTCAAAGACACCAAGAAGTATATATAACGTTGGCTTGTTCGCGTTTAGTATTGAAAATGGGCCAAATCGATCGAAGGACACGTCTAGGGTATCACGTGATCTGACAACACCTCCGTTTTTCAAAAGTAATAAAAAATTGCTTTTTTGGTTATTACTCACAACCTTCAGCGGATAAATCTATAAAAATTTCATTCGATTTGTGTATTCTACGGAAAAAATTGACCATGCCAGTCCACACACTTCTATAGTATATCAAAATTTATAACGGACAGAAGTAAGCTTGAAGTCCCCTATAAGCTATGCGCATTCTTGAGCATAGTCAAATTCCAAAGCATGTCCGAAACTTGTACGTCTGTCCAGCTGTGTAGTATGTATGGTAAGCAATCTCTCGTTTGCAAAAATGAAGAGATCGCAGACAAATTTGAAAAAGAATTTGTAAATGACCAAACCCCTCAAAAGTCACGCTTTACACATAAATTAGGACAAATAAATGATATAAATTTCAGCCTTTATTCTATAAAATATAAAAAAATCAGCCACCCCCACCCAATATTATAAAATAGGAAAAGGTTTTTATTGTTTTATTTTTTATTACTTCTTAGGATAACGGTGATGGACATAAAAGATTCGGTCACAACCGAATATAATTTTGTTACTTATTCAGTTTTGTTTTTCTTTTTTTCATTTCAACAAAATGATTGAATTGCAGACAACTCTAACAGAATTCAATTTACTTAACTAATATCCACTTACATGTACATACACATTATAATCTATAAGTAGTTTCTTATACAATTTCATATAGTTATTTGTTTGCCATAATATCGGAGAAGTTTATAGAAATTTTTCACTTTTCCGTTAATTTGTTTTATGTTTTTCTAGAAGTTCACAATTGTAGTCAGTAATCGTAATGTAATAGTAATAGTTTTTTAACTTAATTTCTTATATAAGAATTTTTAAAATTTTTAATTTAATATAAGGTCAAAATTTACTAAAAATAAAAATTATAGAAAAAATTAATTTTTTAGATTTCTTTTTTAATTAATTTTTCACGTTGTCAGAGTAGTTATTGTTATTATATTTTTTAATTAAGTGTAAGCAGCAAGTCGATTTTTCTATTATTATTAAGCTTATTGAAGTTCTTCTTAGGATATCCTCCATAGATGTCCACTGAAATGAATGAAAAAAAAATTTCGATTACTGTCGTTATTATTTAAGCATTCAGTTATAAGTTTATAATTATGTATGATAAGTTTAAGACAAAACCACTCTAAACAATAATATGATAAAGTTTCTTTTGTTCTTCATTTCAAGTGAATCGTTGACACCCCATCTGTAATCGTTTAATAACGTTGGAACTAACGTTGAAATATTGCAAAATAATGCATTAATCGTTGGCGAAAAAATTGCCCTTATCCTTCTGTAGACTTATCCCATTCATAACTAAACAAAGCGTGTGAAGATAAATGCGAATTTAGCTAGGAAAGACACCTACCATTTCTGTTACCAAAACTCTGTTAAGGACTTAACAGAGCTCTGTTAAATAACTACAATTGAGATATAGTTGGATTTGAAAGCCTACTCCCTCCATATTAAAAAAAGGAAAATATTTTTGTGGACATTTATTGAATCTATATGAAAATACCTTTAAAGATAACTAAATACATTCAAATTCTGCCTGTGAGAGCTATTTTTAACGGTGTTTTAAAATTTGGTATGTTAGCGAAAAATGGATTGGGATAACGAGCAAATTTGAAACTCTAGTGCGGCCAAACTAGAAAATGTCACCTATATTCACCTATAGCACGTGAATCTATATAAAAACGTCTGTCCAATGACCAAAAGAAATTCAAACTTTTCTTTCGGGAACTATTTTTAACGATCTTTGGAAATTGAATTGAAATTGAAAAATGTATGTGATTGTGTGTGTGTGTGTTGCAGTTTTAGCAAAACTTTTTATAGGGCAACGTCAAAACATCCAAATTTCCATTATCTTTTTCAACAGTTTCTGTTTACATTGTCTACGCCAATAGTCTACGCCTTTCTCTACATCAATTGCCTACATCGTTGTCTATGTGGTTGTCTACGTGATTCCCTACGTCAATTGTCTACGAGGTTCCCTGCGCGATTGTCTACCTTCTTCTCTGCATCGATTGTCTACGTCATTCTCTACATAATTTTTCTACCCGGTTGTCCACATCAATTACCTACGTCGCTCTCTGCATGCGATTCTCTTCGTCAATCATCTACGACATACTACATGGTTGTCTACGTCATACACCCATTACATACAATACAGATATGATTGCAAAAAAATCCTATCTTTTTAGAACAATGGTTAAATGGAAATGGAAGCGCCACAATCCTTGGTGGTGACACGCAAACATCTATATAAACACACCGGCAAAGACATGAGCTAATCGATACATATTCCTATACTAATCCGGAACTTAAATATGTGTGTGGGCCTGAGTGTTGCGGAGGGTTGGCACAATTAAGTTATTGACCTCAAATGTGATAAAAACTTTGAAAGTTTCTTTACTCGGGTTAGCATTGAAAATTGGCCAAATTAGTGAGAGCACATGTCCGCAGTAAAATAAAGGATAAACTGAACGCAACTGTAATATTTATTTGCAAGAACGGAGAAAATCGGCCATGCCCACACAAAACTATAGATAATTAAATTTTCTGTTTTTCCACTTTCTTGAGATTTTACGCTTATTAATCATAAGGCAGAATGTCTGTAATTGTTTAGTACTTTCCTCAAATGAAGACCTACCTAAAAATCTGCTAATTCTTAAAAGTACTGTAGACATGGCAATCAAATAAAAGGATTGGGAGAGTAGCATGCGGCAAGCTATTTATTAGTTGCAAATTAAATACGGTGAACGTCACGACTGACTAATTTTCTCATCACATTACCATCTATATGGGTGTCAAAAATAAGGACTTGGAGAGTAGAACGCAACCAACTAAGTATGCTAATTCTAAATTAGGTTTAGAAAAGCCCAAGTTCTTACATACAGTCATTATGAAAGTGATACGCTAAAGATTTCAATGGTTGTGGATATACGAGGTTCTATCCCAGTCGAATATAACTTTCTTACATGTTACTACTAGCGCAATACAGTGACTTGTGAATTGCTATTATTATTGTTGTTGTTGTTATGACACAATTCATTGTAACCATAGCATAAAGAAAATGTTCTATCGTTTTTCGTTTCAAACTAAATGTTTTCGCCATTAACCTAATTTAGGCTAAGGAGTAACAAAAAAGTTGTAAAGCCGTATCGAACTAGATTATGATGCATGTTATAAGAGCCTTTCATCGTTTGCCATCCATCGTGCATATAAGTAGATAGCAAACTATTCTATAGATCTGTTCGATAATATTTTTGAATCGGATATCATCTACAACGTGATTCGTTGATACAGACTCTGTTTGCAAATCCACATGAGATAGTAAGATGCAAATCGATAGAGTCATAGGCAAAAAAATTCATATATATGTTCTGTTGTTCGATGTTGTGAGGCTTCATTAGCACGTGTTCAACATCCTACTTGGTACTTTGGGCGCAGGAGCTCGACTCAATCTTAACGGAATGCAAGCGAATATGCAACAAAGCGCGTCTCTTATACAATTTTCCCCTCCTAAGAGACCAGTAATAGTTCCCTTTCATTTTCCACCACTCATAGCGCTGGTCTTCGCATCCCCAATCTTCGGATTTACACTTCAAACGATTTTGGAAAAACTTTGCAAAATTGTACAACAATTGAGTATCGATTTTAAGAAAATGTTTTTGCAATTAAAGCGTTAATTAGTTCCCTCACTTCGTTTGACTAAAGCCAGTTTGTCAAGACGGCGACCGATGGTAAGAAATCCTCTCAACGAATAAATTCAACAATGATAGGTGTTAGCGGTCTTTGCATTGTGACGTCTTAATTTAGAAATTTTTTTTTTTTTTTCAAACGCAAAATATAAAAATTAATCTGCTGTCTAGTACTGGATATAAGAATAGCAATAATAATAAATAAAAGTTATACAGATTTGGCATAACTTTTTAGATTTTATAGACATTTTATTTAAGTGTCAATTTAAGTGCGGATACTGTGTACGTTTTATTACTTAGTTGTCGAATAGTTTGCATACATTACAGGAAACTGCTGTTGAGTCAGTTAATTTAAGCAGATTTCTTCATTATAAGGCTAATAAAAATAAAATGAAAAAGAACAAATATTATGTGTTCAAGCTGACGAAATGGAAGAAATTTCCTTGAGGAAAGGAATGTCGTTTAAAGTTCTTGTCTTTATATTCTCATAAGTCTTTAAAATCAACTCATATCGCATTCAAAGTTTAATAATCAAGATTTGTAAGCGATAGAAAATTATAAGATTTTCAATATAGAAAACGCTGGAAACAAATACGATACGGTGAAGAGGTATGTAGGAGTACATACAATTGTAATAGTATATCTGCTTTAAGGTACATATATAGGTGAACTTAAGTAGTCAATAAGCATGTAAGTACTAAGTATGTGTTTAACTGTCACCTTTGTTACACAATTTGACTGACGCTTACGTATAATATGATACTCATACCATTGTGAAGTGTTTTCATTCATGTATAAACCGACACAAGAATGTGTACGCAAGTATTTACAACTTGGATAGGCTTATGAAATATTTAAAAGCATACCTTTAGGATGTTTGAATTTCACTTACAAGCCTTTTTACAAACGTTTACGAAAGAATATGAAACACTTTATGTTTACTATTTTGTAAGCCTCTTCATGGCTATAAAATTGAACGGTATTCAACGGTAATAAGATATGTTAAAAACGGTATATAGAATTAAGATATGTTAAAATACAATGCTAAGTTCAAACTAAATAATTGTAACCAAAGGCAGTTTGTGCAATTAGTTACAAAATATAAAATATGGTCTTCGATATCGATATCGACAGTAATTTGAATGATGTGCTAGTATATAAAAAGGCTGCAGACTTTAAAGATGCGATTTCCTTGCCATTGCTGTATTACGAAAACTTCCTTTCCAAAACTAGGTGCGCAAGCGTATAATGTGTCTGCTTGTTGTTTAGTTACAAAACCAGATAAGGATCAAAAATATTCGCTAATGTACGTATTAACCACTTTTCATCAGTTTAGAAATGATTACATGATCACATTTTGTTCTTGAAATCTCATATATAAGCGCAATGCTTGTTAGCGCCCCGGCATTCGATCTAAACTCGCATATCCTTTTCTTTTTTCTTTTTCTCATATTGAGTTGATAAATAACCCGTGGCACTAAACGGACCAAGTACAACCAGTGCGTAACAAAGTAGGTGTGTTTGCTTTACATTTAAAATGTTTCCCTCATTTCTTTCTCTGAGTACACTTTCTTACATGCATTATTATATACGTATATCATTGAGAGGTGTGTGTGTGTATTTATGTACATATTATATATTTGCTATTGTTGCTTGCTGTTGTTTAAGGGCACAATGAAGGAAAGCTTGCACGCGTCTACGCATACATAAACATATATATATATATATATATATATATATATAAAATCATATTGCTTTTGACATTTTAATACTCGTACACAAGCCGTTATCCTTGTTACTAGTGCAGGAGCAACAAGTAGTTTAAATTTAATTTTCTTATTCGCAGCAAGACGCAGCAGCAAGTTAAGTGTATTTTCCCACAAAATAAAAAGTCCTTAAAGACATTTTTCTTCACAAGACTGTCTAGTCTTATTGCAAAAAGGGAGCTTAACAGATTTTCAGCGCACACAAGCCAACTTTACGTACTTGACACTACGCTAGTCAAGCAAACTGTTTACATTCAACACATATTTGCCTTTAATCTTTTGCTTCTCATCCATCTGCACTCGTGTATATTGTTCCAGGCACATTGTACAACGTCATCATCATTATTGCGTGTTGTTGTCTCTAGTGTAAGAAACAGTTCTTTTTTTTTCTTTTCTTTTCTTTTTTATTCATTTTCCTCTTTGTATTGCTTCAGTTCGAAAGATTGTTGTGATTTTACAACTTAATCTGTTGCTCTCTCTCTCTCTCTCTCCCTCTCTTCATATTGCATTTAGTGTCATCCTTTCATAGTTCGCGTTTAACAATTGTTTTCTTATAATTTTGTTTTTTTTTTTT